GAAGGGGATGGGTATAGACATACATAATGAATGTGATGTGCACCGTCTGGGGGACGGTCATGCTTCAAGCTCTGACTGGTGAGGGGGCAAAGGCAATATACATAACCTAAACATTTGTACCCCCATAATATGCTGAAATTAAAAAAATCATATAGAAAACTAATAAGAAAAGAAAGGTGGATGCCAGTAATCCTAGCACTTTTGTAGGCTAGAGGATTGCTTGAGGTCAGGAGTTCAAGACCAGCCTGAGCAGTGAGACCTCCTCTCTACAAAACCTAGAAAAATTAGCTGAAGTGTGGTGGCTCTGTGCCTGTAGTTCCAGCTACTTGGGAAGGTGAGGCAGGAAGATTGTTTGAGCTGGAGGGTTTGAGGTTGCTGTGAGCTACGATGACACCATTGTATTCTACCCAGGGCAACAGAGCAATACCCTGTCTGAAAACAAAAAACAAAAAACAAAAAACAAAAAAACCCGCAAAACAACGAAAATTCAACTGTTAGTTTATGACATGCACATAATTCACTAGAAAAGAATCGTTGATCTAATTATAAATGGTTGAACTATAAAACTTGTAGAAGAAAACAAAAAATAAAATCTTCGTGAATTGAAATAGTCAAAAATATCTTACATAGTTCACACATCAAAAATATTAATAGTAAACCATGAACCATAAAATTGACAATATTGACCTCATGAAAATAAAAAACTCTTTAGAAAAATATTAACAGAATGAAAAAGCAAGCCAAAAACTGGAAGAAAAAATCTACCTCCAACCCCTAATTGATGATATAAATGATATATATGAAAAATACTAGTATCTAGGATAGTATAAGGACCCACCACAGCTAAATAATGTGAGGGCAAACAATCCAATTAAAAATGTATATAAGATTTGAACACTTGATAAAGTTTCATAAGAATGGCCACTAAACACATGAAAAGATGTGCATGTCATCAGAAAAATGCAAAGTGAGACATAAACTATACTACACACCCACTAGCATAGCTAAAATCAAAAGCAAGGATGTAGAGAATGGAACACTCATCGCTGCTGACGGGAATGTAAAATATCGTCACCACCTTGAAAATGTTGTGGTGATATCTTATTAAGTTAAATATACGTTACCATACTAACCCAGCAATTGCACTCCTAGCTATTGATTAAATGGAATGGAAACACATATGCCTACAAAGATTTGCACTCAGATGTTCACAGAAGTTTTATTCTTATTAGTCCCCAGTTGGAAACAATCTAAATATCTAAGAAAACGTAAATGGATAATTAAATTTTGGTATGTTTGTTCAATGGAATAGAGCTTACCAATAAAATGGAACAGACTTCCAACACACACACCAACATGTGTGACTCTCTAGACATGATGGTGTGTGAAAGAAGCCCAACACAAAAGGATACACGCTCTCTGATTCCACATGTATGAGAATCTAGAAAAAGCTAAGCTAAGCTAAGCTAAAGTGACAGAAAGGAGACTAGTGATTGCATGGGTGTAGGGGAGAAATGAATTCAGTGCACAGGGCATGAGGAAGCTTTCTGGGGTAGGTAATAATGTTATATTTCTTGATTCTGATTGTGGTTATATGAGTGTATACATTTGTCAAAATTCTTTGAACTCAATACTTATAATGGGTTTATTTTAATATGTCAATTGTAACTCGATAAAATGTATTGTAAAAATTATATTGTCTTCTGTTGCCTTTGGGCCAGTGATTCTCACTGGGATCACTATTAATACCTTGGGTGGGTATTTGCCATCTCTAGATAATTAGCATTCCTGTGCCCATGTCAATACATGCCACTAACACCCCATGTCACTGCAACCCAACTATCTCCATAATTTTTCACATATTTCTTGAAATCTTCTACTTTCTCACTGATGACCACTGGTTTACAATTTCTTAAATGTATAAATGTTTACTCCATTTGGCATTTATGCATAAGGATGAGGTTTTAAATTTTACTTTACATATGAGCTAACCAATTTTCACAAAACAATATACTGAAACAAAGCATTTTTTCTTTGAGTAATTTAACAAGTTCAAATTATATTCTAAGTTCCCTTATAAATGCACATACGTGGATTTCATCCAGATGTATTTTATTCAGTCATCTACGTTGTCATTTTCTCTTTCTTCTGATACCAAGGGTTGTGAGTCTTTCACATGCTCCGGAAGAATTCGGCGTGCTCCTGTGTGCACACCTCTTGTGAAACGCCTCAACCTTGGTCTCCACTACAGGGAGCATCATTCTCCACACATACTCATTAGAAGCTTTCTTAGTTGAATTATTTGTTAATAAAGTGGTACCAATTAAGTGTAATTTTTGTTTTGTAGCTCTGTCACTGTGAAGGCAGACTTTTCAAAGTGATCTGGTTTATACTTTGTATTTGCGAGAGTACAATTTCCTGGCCACATTTGTGGCAGTTGGAATGTCAAGGGACACATTTCTGCAATCGTGTTTTGCAGGGTGCATGTCATGGGCAATGGAAGCTAACGAAGCCGCTTCAGATGCTGTTCCTTCAGGTCCCGTGGTGACATGGCTAGTGCTTCCTGCGGTTTCTTGCTCTTTAGTGCCAACGAAGAGCACCGTGACCCTCACCAAGGGGAAGTCCTCAAGGACCCCGTGTGGATGTCGCATGGAAGAGAGTGGCTCTCCAAGGCTCCAAGCTAATGAGATCACAATACTTCTCACAAGGGGGATCTCGGGCCATGCCTTTCCCTGCACCTGGCCAGAGGGAAACAAGACAACTGAAAACAAAGGGGGCTTTTGTGTTTATCCATAGCATAGATGCTATATGACAGCCAATGACACAGCCATGAGAAAACATTTTAGCTTATTTGTCTTATGATCCAGTTGAATGCAGTGTGCTCCAATACCCAGCCTTGCTAAAAAGGAGAGTTTAAAGAATATTGAACTAATAATATTACGTTCCTGAGAAACAACAAAGCAGAATGTAGGGTGTGAGTACACCTGGAGAGATATCGACCATGTTGTTCCTCACCTGTCTAGACAGCAGCGGAGGACTCAAACAACTATGCAATAGTATCTTTATGATTTTGGGTATGTCTTTAGTCTGAGGCAATATTGCCCCCAGGTATTCATTTGGCATGCAGGGTGAATTATTAGAGCTTACAATTAAAACCACAAAATAAATTTTTAAAATGTAAGTTGCTTTTGATATTAGTGTTCTTTTATTTTATTTTTATAAAAGTATAAATTGGTTTAGAAATAATTTTCTCTATCCTCCAATTTCTTTCTAAGGTTGTATACAGCTGAAGAGTGTGTAACCCTGTTGTTGCTAAAGGCAGAATTAGATAACCAGGACCCATTTCAGAAAAAGAAATGGGATTTTTTTCTTTGGGGTGACACTGACCTGATTTTATTCTCAAACTCAAGTTACATATTTTCAAATAACTAAGTTTGCTTTATTTATGTGAACTCTAGGAGACAAATATCCATGTAATATCCTTTTCACAATAGTAATGAGAGACACCTTGAACCCTTGGTCTTACATGAATAACATAAATGTTAACACTTTTTCTGAAGGAGCTAGAAAATCAAAAATAGAAAAAAATTAAATTAATTCAAGCATTTTAATCCAAATAGTTTTCTTAACTTATAAATTGTATTCACAATATTTTTCAAAATGTTTTGAATTGTGGTATAGCCTGCAAAAAGTACAATTTTATTTTTTGTACTAAGGTAAATGTGGCAAAAGCCTTGGCATTTTTGGCAGATTAATATCTATCAATGCATGTAGTGGGACAAATAAAATACCTCCAGCCATTCTAACATTATTTGACACTTTAGGCCTAACTAATAATTTCCATAATACATATTTGGAAAATTCTCTACTGTATCAACAGTGAACTACAGGGACCACTAATACTGTGGCATAAAGTCTACACATATTTTTAATAGAGTTTTATGATTCTAAACCTCCATAAAAGTTTAAAACGAGAAATCTGTAGATAGGAACCTAGTTGACCCCATGTTTTATTTAGCTGCCATAATTATTTTGATATAAGAGATATTAACTTTGTATCTTTACTGCAGAGAGTTTTTTCAAAATTTAAATATATTTTACATATGCCTACTAATTTTTTTTTTTTTTTTTACTTTGCCATCTACTTATCATCTGGATATTTTGGCACTGAAGCGCATACATACACCCATTGGGATTGCTCGTTTCTCTGAAGACAAGATTTCTGAGTCTTTTAAAAATTTTTTCCTTGAGTGTTCCTCACCAACGTGGGAAAACTGATGGACAAAATGATTCTAAAACCAAACAAGCCAAAGGTTAGAAAAGTTAAAAGAACACCTATAAACAATTTTTTTTCAAATATGCTTTGAATCTGACCCTATGTTGTGTGTTCTGGAGATGGGGTTTACTCAGGTACCAATCTCCCTCCAACCTCTCCCCGACGGCACGGGTCAGAGGCCGTGAGGCTCACACTGCAGGCAAGCCTTACTCTCCGCAGGGAACCTTGTGCAGTTCAAGAGGCCACCGTCAACCGGCCCCTCCCCTGCGTCGTCTGTGGATTCCTCCCTCACCCCCACTCTGTGGGATGTGCATTGCTCCCTGTGACAAGGCAGTGCCATATTCTTCCACAGAACCACATTCTGTGTATCAAGCTTGGGCTGTAGTCTTTTACATCAGCCTCCCTGTGTTCAAAACCTGCCCCACCACTTGGGAGTGGTGTGACTGTGGGACAACTACTTACTCCCTTAGTTTCCTCATTTGTAAATGTGGATTAGTAGGATATTTATTACGGAGACTTATTTTGCTTATTTTCCAAATCAAACAATACATATTAAGTGTTTATAAAAATGTCAATTATGTTTTGACAGCCATTATTTTCTATTATTATTAGGGAGTCCCTTAGAATCATGAGATAAATGAATAGGAATCTTCCAATCTCGTCCCTTGCTCGTCTGCTATCATCTGAGTGCTGTTGATTCATTCCAGATCGAAGAAGATGAGACATGGATGGCACGAACCAAACAGCAGTGACGGAATTCATTTTCCTTGGGTTTTCGGGGGTTCCCTCTCTGCAGCTCACATTATTTGTGCTGTTTCTCACGACATATCTGCTCTCCCTCATGGCAAACACCCTCGTCATTTTCATTGTTCTGATGGAGTCCACACTCCAGACACCCATGTACATTTTCTTAGGAAATCTGTCCTTCCTAGAGATCTGGTACACTACAGCCACAGTGCCTAAATTGCTGACCACCTGCCTCTCGCAGGCTGTCACCATCTCTGTCTTTGGCTGTGTTACGCAGTACTACTTCTTTTTCTCCATGGGAGCTACAGAGTGCATCCTGCTGGCAGCGATGGCCTACGACCGGTACGTGGCTGTGTGCAGCTACTCGCGACTCATGAGTCTGCAGATCTGCTTTCGGTTTTCGGCCGGATCCTGGATGGGGGCTTCGTTGCCCCTCTCTTACCTACCATACTGATCTCTCGTCTACACTTTTGTGGCCCCTAAAAGATCAACCACTTCTTTTGTGATTCAGACCCCATTTTTAAGCTCTCCTGCTCAGATACGTTCTTGGTAGAGGCCTTGGGCTACACGTGTAGCTCTGTGGTGATTCTGAGTTCTTTCCTTCTCACTATGTCCTCCTACGGCAACATAGTGGTCACAATAGTCAGGCTGTCTTCCCGGGAGGCTCAGAAGAAAACTTTCTCCACCTGCGCTTCCCACCTCACTGTAGTTACCATCTATTATGGCACCATTATCTTTGCCTACGTCCGCCCTCCAGCCAAGTACAACTTTACCATTGGTAAAGTGGTCTCGATTTTCTACTCTGTCCTTACTCCACTGGTGAACCCTCTCATATACACCCTGAGAAACAAAGATGTAAAGAAAGCTTTCAGGAAAGTTCTAGCACAAAAGAGATTTCTCTTGGCCAGAAACATGCAGGAGTTTTGAAATATCCACAAAAATGAGCAATTTAGAATGGATTTCCAAATCATATTTGCTGAGTATTGAAAAGTATATCATACAATTGATTCCATCTAAGATGGACATCTCTGTGCACTTTACATTTTGGCTTGAATTCTACTGAAGAGTTATTCTATACTTGCCGTTTGAGAATGCTGTAGTGCAATGCCATAGTGATAAAAAGGTAAATGCCACAAGGTCCCTGCCCACAAGGCATTCAACTGGAAAACAGGATGGCTTAGTGTCATATATTTTGATTGGATATTTTCATAATTTATGTCTTAATAGTAACTATGAGCCAAGAATTCTCTGTTAAATAGAGCAGTGTTCCTCACTGAGTAGATAGGCTAATGTGAATTTAACCCTTTGTAGCTTAAAATATGTTCACTCAATAAACATGCATTAATTAAATATATATGACAAGCCAGACAGTATTCTCAAGCATTGATGTTGATTTAATGATGATATAAATATAACTAGATAATTTTATTAGAAAAATATTAGATAACCAGAATTTTTCTGGGTAATATAAAACCATGAATAAATGAACTTGATTTCTAAATATTAGCAAGGGCAACATGGTTAGTAAGTGGGGCAAAAGAAAGACAGAACTAGAGAGTTCAAGAAAGGAATGTCTAACATGGTAAAAACAAATATCAACTCTCCTGGATTCCTATAAAATATCCAAACAGACAATTAATTCAGTAAAACCAATTTGATTCAGAAAGATAGAGAGAGAGAAGAAAAAACAATGGGTTTTCCATTACTATACATCACTCTCCTATGTGAATGAAGAAGCTTTACAATTATTAGTTATTTCAGTGCAAGTTTAGGAACCAAAGTGATGGTAAAGGTTCTGGAAGAAATAAACTCCCACCCAAGCCTTTTAGAAAGATTGATCTTCCCATGATTGTCTCTTAAACATTGTTTGAAGTGTGATCTGCAATCAGAAGCATCAGAGTAATCTGAGAGAATGCAAACCTCACCCCAGACCTCTTGAGTGAGAATCTGCGTTGCGTAAGGTCACCAGTTGATTGGTAAACAGATTAAATCCCAAGCAGCACTATTTCGGGTAACTAAGGTTTTAAACAATCTATTTTTAATGACAAGAGAAGAGAGTATTCTCTTCTATTTTTAATGACAATACATTGTTGTGCATGACAAAATTTAAAATTTTTCTTTAGTCTCAATTTTAACATGTGATTTTCTGGAATATATGAAAACTATAAGGTAGATATTTTCTGAATGCCTACTTATTTTTTTTTTTTATTTTTAAAGCAGCGTACATTCATGGCAACTATTGTCAAAATAAGCTTTACATGTAAATGTGAAACTTAGGCTATACAACACCAACATTTTTTCTAACCCTTAATTTTCCTTTGGAATATCAAAAGTTATATACAAATTATCACAAAAGTAGTGAAAAGTTCTGTATCAGTACACAGCTATTTCTGTATGCCATCGCATCTGGAGAGAGATTGCCTTATCCCACTGATGGTAATAATTTTTCCAAAATCCAAGTCCTTGAGGAATGTATATCTGAGTCTTCTTCCCTTTGTAGCTCCGTTCATCCCAAAGCTCTACTTGGGTTTTCTCTCTTTGCTCGGGCAAAGCTGGAGCTGTGAGTGCTCTTGAGTCCTTCATAAAGGAAAGAGAGTTCTCCCTACTCCAACTGCAATTTAAAGACATACAGAAGAAGTTCTCTTGTCCCATTCATTCATTTTTATTCCTGTTTTTGTAAACTCCTAGATTTCACTGTCAAAGACTGCGACATGACGATCTCACTGGGAAGGGGCAGACCTGGTAATAATAAGCATCATCACATTTTCTTTAGGGGGATGCATTCAAGCAGTTTTCATAGGATTGCAGGGTCTGTACTGATGGAGATCTTCATAAAACAGTGTAAAATAACAAAACAAAATGCAGATGGCAGTCACTGTACAAAAATCCCCAAGGAGAAAAATTGAAGTGAAAGTCAAACCATATTTAAGTATATTTTGATTATTAAATTGCAATGTTGTTTGAAGAAAATTCATAAAATGTAAAAGAGACAAGACATATTTTATAGAGAGAAAATTTACTTACAGGCTATTTCTAAATCTTGACAATACATTTATACACATATTTTTACCAAGTAGGATGTCAATGTATTTAAAGGTACTTTTTTTTTTCAGAATATTTTGGGGGCACAAACACTTTGGTTACATAAATTGTCTTTACACTGCCCAACAGGCATGCCCATCCCCCACACAGTGCATAGGGCATCTGTTAGGTGTGAGTTACCCATCCCCTCCCCCACCACCTGCCTCACACCCTAAGAATGTTACTTTGCATGTGTGCACATTAGTGTTGATCCATCAGTACCATTTAATGGTGAGTACCTGTGGTATTTGTTTGTCCATTCTTTTGATACTTCACTTAGAAGAATAGGCTCCAGTTCCATCCAGGATAATATAATAGGGAGTTCATTTTTTATGGCTGAGTAGTACTCCATGGTATACATATACCACATTTTATTAATCCACTCATGTATTGATGGGCATTTGGGTTATTTCCACATCTTTGCAACTGCGAACTGTGCTGCTATAAACATTCGGGTGCAAGTGTCTTTTTTATAGAGTGTCTTTTGTTCTTTTGGGTAGATGCCCAGTAGTGGGATTTCTGGGTCAAATGGTAGTTCTACTTTTAGTTCTTTCAGGTATTTCCATAGAGGTTGAAGAGGTACTTTTTGTAATTATTTAAGTAATTTTCTAATTTAGAAAAGTATTTTTAAAGACATGATTTGTTTGGCTGTGTATTATCCTGTTGTGTAAATTTGATAAAGGATATCATTTATATTAACATTAATATTTTAGATATTAAGTTTGTACTCATGTATTTCTTTGAAATACTGGTGTACTGAATTTCCATGTAATACATCTGTTTTTATCACTGACTAGTTCCTTCTGAAAACAAGCTTGAATTCTGGAACATATTGTGTAGAGAAGTGAACTCAGCTTTATCCCACTACCCTTAAAGGGAATAAGATCTTATTATCATTATTTAAGTCAGAAAACCTCACACTTTTAGAATTCTCCTTATCATCTGCTACTCCATCACTGTTTATAAGCAATCCATCACCAATTCTTATATTTACTACTAAATTCTTTTCTCATGTACCAACATATCTTCATTTCCATGGACAATACCAGAATCTGAGCTACGCATATCCATATTTTAGATACCACAATACCCCTCCTCAAAGATCTGTCCCCAACTGTATTCTGATTTCACATTTTAAGGGCAGTCACACAAAATAGCATGTTTTATTCCTCAAGGATACACATTTTATATTTCAGATATCAGTAGCTAAAACGAAGATGCATAACTTACAATATGTCTTTAAGGTTTCTTTGGTTCATGCTTCACTGTTCACTCAGTGATGAAGAATGTCCACATATAGTCATGACAAGTCTCCCATTAAAAGTCTAAGTTCAATCAGCCTGCAGAAGCAAGTGTCTGTGCTCAGACAGAACCGGGTGGAATTTGACCGCCTCAAGCACGAGACCAAGCGTCCAGAGGTGGAGACCGAGCACCCCGGGAGCCAGCTGGAGGAAGCCACCGGCGCAGGAGCGCTGGGAGCAGCAGCTGCAGGAGGCGCCGGAAGCGCTAAGACTCCGCAGGAGCAGAAAAACGACCTGTGCAAGGAGCTGTCCCACCACAGGAGCATCAAGGACTCCCTTCACACCGGACACCTGCACGTCTCACTGGATGGCCTGAAGTTCAACCACGACGCTCCTGAGCCCAGCAGCGACGCCGAGGCCTGGCCACGCTGTCGCCGGACAAGAGCCCCGCGCCCAAGGGCATCCTCGCGCCGCCTCCTCTAGTGTCCGGTGCTTGGCGAGCTCCAGTCCCGGGGCTCCAGAGGCTGAAGCCACAGCCGATGCGGGGGTCGGGAAGCCCGGGCTGCCCGCGATGCTGCAGGACACCGGAAGCAGCTGCAGCAGCGCCAGGGTCTCCGTGGGCGCCGCGCGGCAGGTGCTGCCTCCCCGGGAACCGCAGCGCCCTGCGAACCTGCTCCCCGTCCCGGCGGAAGGACCGCGACGGCCATGAGGATGGCAACATCCACAGCTGAGAGACACTCACCTGCAAGCACCACGTGGCTGTGGCCGAGACAGCTGTGCCCCCGCAGCCACAGCTGAGGTCTCTGCGCAGCGCTCACAAGGTGCGGGACCGGCCGGTCCAAGCAGGAGCCAGCGCCCACCAGGCAAGGCCTCCCCGCTGCAGACGCCGCCAGGATGCCAGCGGCTGCCCGGAGTGGGAAGGTGCTGAGGAAGGCGAGCCACGTTGCCAGTGAGACACGGGGCACCTGAGCGTGGCCCAGGACGAGCTGGCGACCTTCATCCAGGAGCTGGCGGACTTGTACCACCACCTGTGCGTGTGCAACCAATCGTCCAACCTGTCACTCTGGGCTACAACCAGGAGGGCCAGGGAGGGCGGTGGCACCAGCCCTGATTGCCATCAGCACTGTTCGCCTGTCCTCCTACCCTCTTGGCTGGCCACAGAAGCAGGCCAGCCAAGCAGATGGTGAAGCTGGGGACAGCAGCCCCTGACCCTGCTCCTCATTGTTGTCACCCCCGAGCGACCCCCACTGGGATCCCATAAACATCTACATCCTGATCATTATCATCCGCGACCAGATCAAGCACCTGCAGGAGGCTGTGGACCACGTGACAGAGCTGTCATGGGAGCGCCTTGCCTCACAGGAGCCAGGCCCAGCTGTGGGCAAGGACAAAGAGGCACTCACGGAGGAGAAGGAGATCCTCAAGCTAAGCTGCTGCACAGCACCGAGAGTATCAGATCACCACCCTGCACGCTGTGACCCAGGCCAACCAGAAGACGGTTCAGATTCCCCTAGCCAAGCTGAGGAGCAAGGACAAAAACGGGAATGCCTTGGTGACGAGACCATCATGATGCTGTGCAGTGAGCTCAAGGCCCTCAAGGAGGATGCAGCCACTTTCTCCTCACTGCTGCCATGTTCCCCACCAGGTATAACAAGTACGTCGCACAGCTGGATGAGATGTAGTGGAAGCTGACACCCACAGAGACCAAGAAGACACTGTACTCACTGCCATGCATTGACATCCAGCAGAAGCTGGTGCCAACCTGGAGGCTAGAGCTGCTTGAGCTGGACCATGAGCAGCCCAGGCGTGCTTATGCCAAGGCTGCCCCCAAGGCAAAGCCGGCCACCCTGAGAGTAAGTCACACCTGTGCTTGTGTAGTGACAGGGCAAGGGCGCCAGGCTGGCCAACCAGGTGTTCTGCAGCAGGAAGCACAGCATTTACTGTGATTAGGGGCTGCTGCGGGGTGCAACAGCAGGACAGCAGAACTAGGTCAGTCTTAATGTGACTAATGCACACAAGCAGGATTCTAGCCAAGGTGGCGTGGGGTGCATGTATTGACAGGACATTTCTGTGAGCTTTGTCCCCCTTGGAAGTATCCCACCCTCAGCTATTCTCTTAGGTGGGATCAGAGGCAAGAATAGAGCTGCATATCCTTGTGGAAGACAGAAGCGTGAAAGTGTCTTCCAGGGACCCTGGGTACCCTTGGGGAAAATCCAAGGAAAAGAGTTCTGGTCCTGCTCCCTCTGCACCTGACAGGACAGAACCTGGATTGAAATTTGCATGTTTCTTGCATGTGTCTAATGTCAGTGCTAGAAAGTAGTTTTAGGAGGTTCTGGCCTGCATCATGTGTATGGCCTTAGAGGACAACTCTGTGCTTGCAATGGTTTTATGGAAAGAGTTATGTTGTAATTTGTGGAACATCTCACTTAAAATCACATTCAGGACAAAAATGCAGAATTTCTTCCCCCAAACCCAGAGAAGAGTATCCCAGAGCCCTGTATGTTGCTGGCCAGACACACAAGGCACAGACTCAGCTGACCATAACCTAGGAGACTCAGTTTTTCATTTCTGAGATCTACTTGCTTGTCTGGTGGCCTGTGAGGTGACAAATTGCCAGGGCCTGAGACCTAGGGTTTTCCTTTTCAATAAGAAAAGACCCCAAATAGGCAAAGCAACCTTAAGCAATAAGAACAAATTGGGAGGCATAACTTTACCAGACTTCAAGCTATACTACAAGGATATAATAACCAAAACAGCATGGTACTGGCACAAAAACAGAGACAACAATGTCTATCTTAATAACATGTAAACTTATGATTAATATAATTTTACATATATTGTCAATGCACACATGTATACATTTTTTTAGGAAAATATCTTGAAATGTAATTGATATATAAAAAGTAGATCATTTCATTTTTCCATAGATTCTACTAAAGTGCTTCCAGAAATGTTTACAAATATGTATTCTTACCACATGCTCAAGAGTATTACATTAATCCGTAAACCTGAGAGGAGAATAGTTTAATAATATTTTATATTGTTAAAATGTATTTAATAATACTTATTTTAACCATTTTTAAATGTACATCTAAGTGGCATTAAGTAAATATACATTATTATTCAACCATCACCACCATCTATCTCTCTAATATTTCACCTTCCTCAACTAAAACTATGTTCCCCTTGAACAATAACTCCTCATGACCTTCTTTCCTCAGCACCTGGCAACCTCCATTCTGCTTTCTATTTCTATGAATTTCACTTCTCTAGGTATGTCACATAAGTAGAATCATATAATATTTGTTGTTTTGTTATTATTATATTTCACTTAGCAAAATGTCTTCAACGTTCATTTATGTTGTAGGATGTGTCAAGTTTCCTTCCTTTTTAATGTGAATAATATTAAATTTATTATATATGTATACACACATATGCACACACCTTATTTTGTTCGTTCATTCATACATCAATGGACATTTAAGTTGATTCCATATTTTGGCTCTTGTGAACAATGCTGCTATTAAAATTGGTGTACAGATATCTGAGTCCCTGCTTTCAGTACTTTTGTGTGTGCATCCAGCAGTGACATTGCTGCATCATGTGATAATTCAATGGTTAATCATTTGATCAATTGGTTACTGTTTTCAACAGTGGCTGGACTATTTTACATTCCAGTCAGCAATACCTCAGGGTTACAATTTGTCCACATCCTCACCAGCACTAGACAATTTTTTTTTCTTTTTTCATTCTTTTTTGTTATTGACAATAGTCATCCTAATGGGTATGAAGTGATATCTCATTGTGGCTTTGTTTTGCATTTCCCCAGTGATTAGTGATATTGAGTATTTTTCCATGTGCTTATTGGCCGTTGATATGTTTCCTTTGAGAAAGTTCCTATACATGTCCTTTGGCCATTTTTAAATCAGGTGTTTTGTTGTTATTAAGTTGTACAATTAATTTATATATTCAAAATAACTATACTTGTCAGATATACGACTTGCAAATATTTTCTCCCATTCCATGAGTTGCCTTTTTACTGTGTTGATAGTGTTCCTTGATGCACACATTTTTTTTTTAATTTGATGAGGTCTAAATTGTCTATTTTTTTTTCTGCCTTGTGCTCTTGGTATCATAACCAAGAAACCATTGCCAAATCCACTGTCATGAAGCTTTCCCCCTGTATTTTCTTCTAGGAGTTTTATAGTGTTAGGTTTTGCATTTAGGTCTTTGATTCATTTTGAATTAATTACTGTGTAAGGTGCAAGTTTAGAGTCAAACATCATTCTTTTGCATGTGAATATCCATTTTGCAGGTTTGGTTAACCAAAGATGGTCTCTTTTGCCTTCTGGAACCTAGATTTTTGTGATTAGACAAGAGATGTCTAAATTGCATGCACTGTATAAATTACATGTAGGTCTATGCCTTTCTTTGTTTTTTCTTCTTCTTTTTTTTAAAATCAGCTACAGCTGCCTTTTTATTTGCAGTTAAAATTCAGTTTCTCTGCTCTTAAAAGTCCAGAAGTACTGATGTAAAAAAAAGTCTAATTTATATAGTCTTAACTATTCACTGACATTCACTATTACTTAGTCGTTCTGATAAACAATAAGCAACATTCAAGGAAAATGTTTCAATGCGACTGCATTACATTTCTATAATTTTAATCATAGCACTTTATACTTTTGAGTTTATCTTTCAAACATTCTCAAGACTTTGAAATCTTTAAATATTATTTCTAATTTAACAAATATAAAATAAACATGTGACATTCTAAGCATTTTTGCTGTCAGTGTTGCTGTCTTTTGTAGTTCAATGAGCCTTTTTACATGAAAAGCAAAGATTACTTTGCAGTTTAAATCAGAATTGTGCTTATAGTTATACATGTTTACATTTTCTCATCTACTCAATGATATTTAAACTACAAATAATTCCTCTACTTCTTGGACTTTCATAATCAAGGGTTCCTCTGAGGAGGAAGAGTAACCTCACTTCATTTTCTTCCAGTTACTTAGAAGTTAAGGAGAGGGTAGCGGAAGATCATTTCAACATCATGGTCCCTTCCTGAGGAGGAGAATTTTACCCTCTGAATACAGAGTAGGAGCCACTTCTGGCTGTCATCTCTACTGCGTGCCCCTCCAAGCGTTAGAAACTTCAATGAATCCGCTTTATGGACTAATCTTATTAGAGGTCATCTCTGGGGAGGAAAATCCAGGACTTGGGAAACTTAGTCCAGGGTAGTTGTACGTATAGAAGCAAACTATGAGAATGAATGACATTAAGGCCCTCAGCTTTTCAATGGTCAGGGTTTTTACAGTACTCATTATGTTCTCAGTGGTTCAGATGAATAGAATAGACCTGCATTTCTTCAAATGTTTGAAATATTTTATTTGTTTATTTTGCTTTTAGAGATCTTTCACACTGAAAATAAAAATACTTTCAAATGATCAGAGCAGCAGAAAGGACAGGAGGACATGAAAGTAAAGATAACATGGGGTCTTACCACGTTGTCCTCTGTCTTCACCCCAGATCTTCCTACTCTCCACTGCTGATTACTGTACTCAGGTCCTATTTACTCCACATCCCGCCAAGATTACGCTTGTGGTGGAAATAAGACACAGTCTCAGAAATTTAGGGAGAAAGATCACTGTTTTTTATTCAGCATCTGGATAAAGAAGGAATGTGGGGAGCATCCACCAGCCAGCCAGAAGTTGGAACCAAGCATACCAAAATTTTTTACCACTGAAATTTTAATATTGCTATTACAGTAAGTCACTTTAATAAATTTAATCATTTCTTTAAAATTTTGGATTTTGTTTGCAGCAAACATGTAATTTGTAAAGGATGATGGATTTGTTTCCTCCTTTCCAATCCTAATTACTTTAATCTCCTTTCCCTGCCTCATTTCACTGACTGAAAGCTGCAAAACTATGTTAAATAAAAGAGGTGATAGTGCTAAAGCTGTTTATTCCCCATTTTAAAAGGGAAATTTTCAATTCTTTATTCTGTTGTTGGTTTTGGATATTTGTGT